GTGATAAGGCCGGCAAAGGAAGGCAGTTGGGGGCAAGATAAGGTCAGCAGGGGGTTAGGGGCAATCAGGCTGGCAGGCAAGAGCAGTTGGGGGCAGGATAAAGCCAGCAGGGGAGGGCAGTTAGGGGTGATCAGGCAGGCAGGCAGAGGCAGTGAGGGGTAATCAGGCTGGCAGGCAGGTGAGTGGTTAGGAGTCAGCAGTCCCAGATTGCAAGAGGGATGTCTGATGCTGGTTTAGGCCCGATTCCTGTTGGATAGGACCTAAACTGGCACTTGGACATCCCCCAAGGGGTCCCTGATTGGAGAGGGTGCAGGCTGGGCTGAGGGATCCGCCCCTCCATGCATGAATTTCGTGCACTGGGCCACTAGTAAAATATAAAACCCAAAACATGTATAGCTTTATAAATTTAAAGCAATATACCAAGTCATTTGAGCTTAACTATTAGCAGTGTATTGCTATCTGGCTATATATACTTAAGAAGATAAATTTCATTCAGATGACAAAGTGAGATATAATGTCCATAGCTGGGCAAAATGTTCATGTGATTGCTACTCTTTATGATGGTTCAAATTTATGTGTCAACTTGGTTAGGCCATGGGCTCAGTAGTTGGGTCAAATATTAGTCAAGATGTTGCTGTGAAACATTCTGAGGTGTGAATAATACCTATGATCAACTGTCTTTAAGTAAAAGATATTATTCTCAATAATGTAGGTGGGCCTCATCCAATTAGATCAGGGGTGGGGAAAGTCCAGCCCTTGGGCTGAGTAAGGCCTGAGAAATAATTTGATCTGGCCATCCCAGGCATTAGTAGTGAGATAATTAAATGTTTGACCAAATATAGCAGGCTAATTTTTAAGTTGATAATTTTGGATGGCCCTAGAATGATGTTATAAATATCCAAATGGCCCTTGGCATAAAAATGATTCCTCACTCTTGAATTAGATGACAGCCTTAAGCAGAAAGACTGAGGTTTCCTGGAGATGAAGGAATTCTGCCTCAAGACTGTAACAGAGAAGAAGAACCGAGATGGCAGCATAGGTGAACACCTGTACTTGCTGCCTCTCACAACCACATCAAAACTACAATTCAAAGACAGAACAGATATCATCCAGAACCACAGGAGTGCTGGCTGAGTGGAAGTTCTGCAACTGAAAGGAAAGAAAAAAGCGCATTGAGATTGGTAGGAGGTGCAGAGGTGCGGAGGTGCATGCAAAACAGCCTGACAACTGGGTGTGCTGTTATTTTTTTTTCAATGGGAAAGGAGATACAAGCTCCTGATTGCTCTGAACTCCCGTTCTGTGCGAGACTCTGGGGACCCAGACTCATAGGGGAGAAACTGGACTGTCTGGAATTGGGACAGGAATGCAAGGGCGGCTTTCTCTAGGTGCTTGCAGCAATCATTGTTCCTAAGTGGGGGCAAGGGATGCAGAGACTTGGAGATGTGGAGACGCGGGAACCTCCCCAATGCAGGGCTGACTGACAGTCATTACTGTTTGCTCCACCCTAGTGATTCCCTGAGACCCTGCCCCAACCAATTTACAACCCCACCCAAGCTGTGTGCGGCAGCTTTTGCATATGAATGGCTTGTCCTTTCACAGCCTAACCTAATAAACTGCAGCTGGGTCAGAGAGCACCAAAGCTTCCAAAAGAAGGCCCAAGGTTGGCAGCAGCAGCCTTCCTTGCTTCACAGCTGGGCCTTATCTGGGCACTTTCAAACCCCAAACAAAGAGGAGGAATCTGCAGATCTCTCTATAGTTCCTGCTGGGTGGCCTCAGGCAGTGGCTGACTTTGCATCCTTGGAGATCCAAGAGCCAGTGTACCCAGTGGTCAGTGTGAGAACATCCAGATTACAGCTCTGCACATCCATTAG